TGACCTCGAAAGTCGAAGTTGGATTTTAAAATAGTTCTAATGGTGCCATGTAAACATTGCAGTAGGTAACTGACCTTTTACCAAAACAGAGAAAAAAATAACGAGACTGGTCACTCTCCGCCCTTCTCTAGCTTTAGATAATGCATAGTGATGGTCACATTGACGAAACGGCGACATTTGCTGTAGAACTTAAGAAAAAAAAATTAAAATTTAATTTACGAGGTGAGTTTTAGGACATTTTAGTTTGCACGAGAATCGTAATCGCGCTTTATAACATTTTTTATTTAAATTCAAATAATAAAATATTCACATTATAAGCGGTGTTCATAAATTCGAACCACTAGCAGAGGTGTCGTATTTTAAAAAGAAAATGTTCATTCTGGATAATTTTAATACTATTGGTAAACAAAAACTGCTGAACACTTAAACACGACGAAGAAGTTTCATTTTTGTCACCCTTACTCATGCATGGCAATTTATTTTCATAAAGAGAGAGTTTTTTCCATTAATATTTGGTGGTTTTGACAACTCTATGTCGCTCGTTGTAGGTATATCTATACCTGTATCTATGTAGGTGGAACACCTAGGGGTCTACTCTCGATCTCCGTCCGACATCCGTCCGAAACAATTACTGGTGGTCGTCTCGAATGATATTTTAAGAAAGTTAAAAACTTTCGAATTTGATCTTTGACGTATGGTTCTTATTTATATACAGAACACAAATTTTAACCAGCTTTAGTAAGGCCGTCGTGGCCAAGTGGTATAAGGATTGCTTTGCAAATTGAGGCAAGCATGGTTCGAGTCAAGCATGGTCGAATCACATTAAAAATAAAATATTATTTAGCTATGATTATATAAAATTGCATTTTTTTTGTTTTTGACGTCTGTTTAGGTGTAAGGAATGTGTAAGTCTTGTTCATACAGAACAATAATTTGTAATTTGAATTATTTCGTTAAGTGCGGCTTAATAATAAAACAAGAAAGAAAATTTTGAAAGTCACTAAGACCTTGAAAGTAATTAAAACTGAATAGACAAATAGGAACGGAACGTGGAACAATGCGTAATCACAGAAGACGCGATCGTATGCAAACTGCAGAGCGATTTCGTGATTTGTTAATCTATCCATACCCACCCTACGCTTTATTAATAATATCTACCTTAGGCAATTTCTAGTGAGCAAATATTGTGATTTGCCAACGTTAACATCAAAAAGTGAAACAATGCGTTAAAAATGTAAGGTTAAAACAAAACAGTGCTCGTGGGATCGAACCACGGGTATTGTAATTGGCAGTCGATACAACAAGCCGCTCGACCAATTTACTTTGAAGTTAAATGACGAAATTTAGTATTGGTTTTAAAGATATGTTGATTATCTTCAAGCAACACTCCACTGTGTTGCTTACAAAATAAAATTGAAATTAGGTACTTTAATTTTTCTTTCTTTAATACGTAAGAGCTCTCGGAACCAAAAGGTCAGTTTGGGCATGTTAGGGGGTCAGGTATATCATATATATGACTGTACGTACCTAATAGAACTTTTAAATACAGAAAAATAATTTCTCAGCTAATTGGGTAGAAATACAAATTATAACTATACTTAAAAGAATTATAACTATTACATATTAGTAAAAATGGTCCTAAAATACTACTTGTTACAAAAAAATTAAGATTTTTCATTACCAACAGAATTAAAAGTAAAAGAATTAAATGCGGCTTTCAAATGAAAAGAACCGCAATAAATTACGTTTAAAACTATTCAGAAGGTAAGCATATGACGTAACTGACAAATAACTGGGGGCTAAAATTAAGTACGCATGAAAATTTTTGTCGTTCAAAATATTATTTTACACTTTGGTATTATTACTTTATTTTGTAATTTGCGATAGTTGTGACGAAAATTTTTGGGATAAAATGGTCACACACAAATTAAACTGTCAATTTACATGGCAATGTTGGCATGATTAGTAGCCTGACTGCCTGACACTGACAGCGAAAAGAAAAAAAGTGTGGTGAGGTGAGTGACGCATTTTCTTTCGAAGGTATCTGTACCTATAGATAGACAACAGAAAAGTTGTGGTTGATTTTCTCGTTATATCGGAGATAATCTGGAAGTCTGATTGTTTTAAATGTCACTGGGTAAGTGAACCTACTAACCATATCCCGTGACACCAAAATTGTTATAAGACAAATTTACGTCTTTCACTTTCACAGAAGTCTCAAGATGGCTTGTGTTGAGAATATTCCGCTAGCAAACGGTGATTCAGAGATGGAGGAGGGCGAGATAGTTGATGATGTAGACGATCTGTCGGATATATCATCGGAGGAAGAGTTTTTGCTTCGGGAAAGATTGCAAGTTCTAGAGAATTACAACAACGTCCTTGAACGGAAGAAGGCGAAAAGGTCGTTTAATGGGTCAGGTAATATCAACACACCAGTGACAAGCTGTTCATTTCTTGTTTTTAGACCTTTTTGTACTCATGCAAAAATTTCTTGTCTTAGGCAGTGTTCAGGTAAAGTACGCCTCTTAGATATAGAATCGTGTGCAAATAGTGAGGTACCTACAAATTTTGATAGCACATTGATTTTTACTACATATACCTTCTTTGTAATCTTTTTTTAAATATGTGCCAGATGACCACACCTTTTTCATTGCCTTTTTTAAGGAATTTTTGGATTTACTTGTCTTAGGCATTGCCTGGTCTTAAACTAGCGAATTCCCTGTACTATGAATACCAGAGCAACGGAATTGTGGGACACTTCCCAGAACACCCACGACAGAGTTCATTTCGTACCTCCGATTCCTGCGCACCACAATGTAAACCATTAAGCCATGGAGGTCGTCAATTTGTGTATTAGACGTTTTGCAATTTGTAGTAGTAGATGTGTAAGCAGCCGATTTGCATTTTTCACTATTTTGTATAGTTTAGCAATTTCTAGTTATCTATCTAGGTACAATTGGATTTGCCTACCCAGGCAATGTAGTCGAGGGTCTGCATGACCAGCTGTGGACGTAACTATATAATATCTACATATCACTTTCGGAGAAGAATTACATGTATAATGTATGTTCCATTATAACTCTGGCCTTTTTTTTTTATAATTAGTTTCTATAATTATCAGTAAGAAAAAGATACTTGACTTAATATTAGATTAGAGCTGTCACCTTTGACAGTACCTATGGATTACTGCTTATACAGTCAACTGCACACCAAGCATGTTAGAGTGCAACTGAACAAGATCCATCAATGGAATATAGCCTGATGTGCTGCTGTCTATTCTAAATTATATCATTGCAAATTTGCAGATTATTATCTAAATTGCATACTCCAAAGCAAACTTAAATGTTGTGTCCTATTCTATTTGATAGCTAAATGAGACACTTGAAGTTCACTTTTGTTTGACTCAAATCAACATAATTATCTTCCCAATGAGTAGACTAATTTCTTTGTTGTATTGAAAACACTGGTTAAAAAAGAAGTTCATTGTAATTTGTATTACAACTTAAGTAGCAAATCTGCTTAGTACGGTTTTTCCCTACAAAATTTTTTCCTCTGCAGTTAAGAAATTTTATTGGCAAAGTTATTAGAAATACATATTATCTTCTTCATTTCCAATACTTTTGATTATTCTCATCACTAATATCTCTCTTACATAAATAACTACAAAGTGTGTCTTTTACATATACATTAATTAACAAAACAACTTAATAAAAACCTCATGAGTAGTCGAACTTTTAGGTAAGCAAAGAGACAACCATCTTGACTTATCAGAAGTATCTGTGCTGGATTTAGATGACAGTTTTATGCATACTAGTGTTATACACAAACCTGAAATAAACAATCAAAAACATAAAACATATCACAAACATAAAAGAAGAGATGAATTAAAAACTCATACTATGTTTAGAAACAAAGACACACACAAGAAGAAGTCTCATCGCAAGAAAAGGATTGAACTTAAAGTTATTAGTGAGTCTAGTGATGAGTCTGATGATGAATATAGAAATAAAAGACGAAAACTAGCTGATGCTGTTGTAGTGCGTAAACAAAAGCACAACGATCAGTCATCATTGCAAGATAGAATACAAAAAATGTTACACGGAACTATAGAAAAAAAATGGGACATTGGTATAGAAAATGATACTGTGGTTCAACCCTTCAAACCCGCTCTTAAAGTAGATAAAGAAACGGAAACAGATATGCACCCTATTATAGAAGACATCCATTCTGTGCCACAATATCCTACTAAAAATATAGCTTTAAATGTTCCTGATAAAATGCTTAATCAAGAATCGCAAAAAGATGGTGACGTAAACCAAGATTTACAAAATGATAAGGAGAATCATCAAACATCTGAATGTATTATCATAAGCACTGATGATGATGATACTCAACATAATAATAATGATGATGCTTTGTTAAAAAATGATCACTGTCAGGAAACACAAGATGTTACTGATTCGATTACCAAAGAAAAGTGTGATGAAACAACTGAGAAAGATAAGGCTTTAGATTCAGACGAAGATTTAGAATTGTTGAGACAGCATGCTTTAAAAACCAAAGCAGCTAAAACAAAACCAATTGAATCAATCCTAGAACCTGAAAAAATGATCTCTGAAGATGAAGACAGTGATACAGCTGAGTTAAGAATCATATGCTTAAAGTCAGCAGTATTAAAGAAAGCGATGGAAATTAAAAGAAAACAGAAGTTGAGAAAGAGACTGTCGCAGTCTACCTTACAGGATGACTTATTAAATGATCAAGAACTGATGAGTAAAATTGAATCAAATAATAATACTGATATTGAGTCTGTGGATATGGATATTGGATCCGACGGCGAAGAAAAAACAAAAGACGCTCCTAATGATAACATACAACGTAAAGAACCAGCTGTTGTAGGAAATGGGGTCATAGGAAACGGCATCGCCGTAAATCACGATGCAGAAGATGAGTTAGACGAAGACGAGGACTTGTTACGAGCAAAGTTACTAACATCTTTGAGCAAAAATTTGCCAAATCTAGTGGACCCAAAGGTAGTTGACAGCATCAATGATGGTAAAGAAAATAAAACTGCAGAAAAGTTAGCGCCAACAACTAAACCATCAGTAAAGTTACCTGAAAATAGAATTGTTATTAACTTGGGCGAATCTGATTCTGAAGGTGAACACGAAGCTACTAAGAATCTTACAAAAATGCATATGAAATTATCCGAGCAGATTGATTTCCAGGAGAAATTGGATATGTTCTTGAAATCGACTAGAATGGAAGTTGAAAAAAGTAACTTACCAGATGTAGTACAGGAGCCAGCTTTACCGAAAACACCTCAAAAATTTGTCGCCAAGGTTAGACCTGTAGCCTGTTACAATAATTTAATATTTTACAGTGCAATATGTTCTACAAAGCATAATATTGTTTTAGACTGTTAATCACTTGCCGAAATCTGAGCAAATCGAATATAGGAACTTGGTTAAAAGAATGGCCGAACTAGAAAAAATAAAAGCAGCTAGGCAATCATCAATAAATCAGACAACCAAGACCCAAACCAAAGAAACTTTGAAGCCTAGAAATGTAACTTTGGATCCTACGAAACTTATAGCAATTAATAATAATTTGGAAGAACAAATTGCGATGTCAAGGTAATTAAACAAAGATTCTTTTGTATTGTATTTTATACCTCATTGTTTTTATTGAATATATTTACTTTTGTAGGAAAAATATAGCAGAAGAATCAGCGAAAATGTTAAAACTAAAAGACGAGGCTACCAAATTGTCTCATAGATACAAAATAGTGGCCACAGAATTGAAAAACATTAGCACAGCAATAACGCTGAACAAGAAAGAACAGCGGACTGTTCAAAGTCGGCTGTCAAGAATCAGGATCCAGCATCAAAAATTGCTAAATGGGTATGTAAACATCTTTGTTGTCACTAACTCAGTCTTTTTGTTATGTTCTCCGCCTGTAATGTCTTTGTCAACAATGACTCTTGCAGCACAACTCCCAAACATTCCAAAGGAAATGGTCAACTTCCTGCTATCAATAGACCAACTAATAAAACTGCTTCCACAAACAAGATGCAAAAAGAGAATGAGCCATCTAAAGAGGAACTGAAACCTTCAATCTTTCAATCTATGAAAGTAAATGTTGTTAACGATTTGAGAGAAGAAACCATTGTACCTAATCCTAGATTGTCAGTTCAAGTAGATGTTAGCAGTAATTTGAAAACAGTTAAAATAAGCAATGAAAGATTTGGGGACGCCCAGCAAAATTCATTAGAAGATATGATCTCTTCAGAGATTGTAAAAGAAAACGAAGCTAGTCTTCCAGTAGTTGAAAAGGGTGGAGGGAGTGGAAGGAACAGCGGAGAAATAACAACCCAAAGAACTGACAGGAGAATGGAATTCGACGATTACGAATCCCCTCTCCAAGCTTTAGGCAATGCAACGTAAGTCGAGTTATCAACGCACCTTCGTAATTACATGCTCTTGTGGTTGTTATTATTATATAATCTCGAAGAAAGAAATAAGTCGGCCTAAATAAACTGTTTCTTTCTTCGCGTCTATGGTTTCCAGTATCATCCTTTGCATGTACCTATTCACTTATTGTCCGTTACTACATTTATCATTTTGAACTTATTGTTATTCGTTTTAGGGAAGTCATTTACAGCATTGGTAAAGGGTGCAATTAATAATTAGAATTTACTTTGCATATTGTTCTTCATTATGTGTAATCATAGAAAGTCAAGAAATGCATGTTGGTATAATCGGTTCCGTCATTTTGAGTGATGCGTGGATGATGTGTACACATCGCCGGCAGCGCGATGTAAGTATATATCAGAGTGTCCACGACTCGTGTTGCTATTGTCTATTGTTGAAAGTTAATATGTTTCAGCTGGGAGGCTGACCCGAACGCGATCCTCTGCCCGTTCGAAGTCTGCGGCAATTGCAAGGATCCCGATTGCAAATTCTTGCATCCCAAAGCCTCCACACATTAATACTGTACAATTACACTCCACATTCACACAAACGTATACTCCGAACAAGCTTTTTATATTTCTTCCATCTTCCTGACTCCTTCGACAGCGAATGGACAACGACGATGTGTAAAGTATATTATACAGCTTCATATTTAATTCATTGTCATGCATGTTATAAATAATTGTATTTTCAAGCACTTGGCCTTGCTTTTACATGAATTCAAACAATGTACTTACAAGTACTGAACACCTGTCCTTTGTTATCGTAGCGTGATAAAATGAATATGAATTCCATTATCATCGACGGTATCAAGCTTCGTTTACGTTTAAAACTTTACTATTTTAAATTTTATTAGTAGATCTAAGGGGTGACCGGAGATCATGAAGTTATTTATCCCAATATTATTTATAACCAGAAATACAGACGAAATGTAATTTGTTTGAAAGCTATTATGCCAAATCATTACGGTGACAACTGCGCTCCGATTGGGCGGCCCGAATTCGAAACAATTGACGGGTGTCGTCAATAGTTTCACTTTAAATCGACCAGTTTAACTTGAACTTTGCTGTAATGGACGAAAATTGAAAATATTTAATTAAATCATTATCTATCGGTAATGAAGTGAACTTATTTGGGTAAAATTGAAACCAAGAAGCCATCAAAACTATAACGATTGGGTGTCAAAAGCGACATTTCGAACGGTGATACTTCACCATCACCATGTGTGATAAGTTATCGCACTTGGTGATGATAACATGTGTGACAAAGTATTTGCCTTGCCTATTCGACAAATACAGCAAACACCAAACAGTTCACACTATGTTCATATTAATTATTTTAACTCTTTAGTTGGCGTATGTGTAGATGGTCATATTTGTCAATGTCTGTCTGTAGTACGTCAAATATTTTTCCAAGTACATCAAACACCCAATGGAGATTTAGTATGTAAAGTGTCTTCAATAATAGACAATTATTTACTTAGAATAAAAACAATAGTATCATAACGAACGCCTCGCAAATACAGAATATTCCATTCAGTTTAAGGACTTTCAAATAGTTGGTTTGGAGATCCGCGGTCACCCCTGGGTTATTAATTTTGTTTTAAAGTTAAAGTCTAACATGTTGATAATATGCGGTTTTAGTTGGCGTCTGGCAATGACAGCCGTCGCGCCTGCGGATGTGGTAAGTGTCTTAGGTATAATTGTGCACTAGTAGTGGTTTCAACTCGCTGTACCTACTTCGTGACTACGAACTCTAGAGGCTGCGACCACGCATCGACAATGGTAAAGTTGCGGTCAAAACTAGTTTAAGACTTTTTTTATTACTTAATTTTCAAAACATTGTCTATTGTGTAAAAAACTATAAATATACATTTTAATTACTGTAATTTTGTGTTTTATTTTATTATATTAAAAATAGTCTAAGATGATCTCTATGATAGTTCACTCGTAAAGCCGCAAGTACACACGTCGGCACATCGAGCTACACATTGACGTATCTTGTTCCGTTGCACTGGAGGCGATTTTCGAACAAAAATGTGTAGTCCGATGTGCCGTTGTCCGTACCTGCAGATGGATTATTTTTTTCTTGATAGAGAATGATTGGACCCATATTATAAATAAACCACACACATTAAATTTTCCTACATTTCGAGATAAAAAATTAATAGTTTATTTCTCGAAACAAAAAAAACTACATTTTTTTTCTCTGGAACAATCGGCTTTTCAAGAAATTGCATAATAGTAAAAGTTATCAGGAATGGTATTATTCAATATATAAAAAGTACATAAAAGAGTTAGCAGTTTTGCCGCACATTTACTTACAAAGCCGCAAGTACAGTCAACAGCACATCAAGCTACACATTGACGTATCTCGTTCCGTTGCACTGGAGGCGATTTTCGAACAAAAATGTGCGTCTGATGTGCTGTTGTCCTTACATGCAGCCGGATTATTTTTTCTACATAGAAAATTATTGGAACTATGCTGTAAGTAACCTACGCACATCGAGTATATGACCTGAAATAGAGACGAAATGTCATTTAATTTGAAAACTATTCTGCCATCATTGCTGTGACAACTGCGCTCCGATTGGCTAGCCCGAGTTCGAAACAATTGACGGGTGTCGGCAACTGTTTCACTTCAAATCGACCAGTAAACTTGAGCTTTGCTATAAAGGACGAACATTGCTAAATTATATATTTAATTATCGATGAAATATGATTCCGTTTGTTTTGTAATTAGATGTTTTCCTGTTTTTTACCACACCACCAAATGGAACAGCACGTCATTAGAGATATTATTTTATTACAATAAATACAGAATATTTTTTGCAATATACGGAGACGTACACGCAGGTCAGTAGTTGGCCTGTCTACATTTCAGTGCAAACGAGAGTTGATATTTATAAGAGCTGTATCGCTAATGTGTTACCAGGAATATATGGCCCTTATTTCGTGTCTATTTCTGGTTATATACTCGATGCCCACGCACATTACATTTTCGTATATTTTGAGATAAAAAATGAAATGTTTATTTCTCCATACAAAAAGAATTTTTTTTTCTCCGAAACTATCAACTTTTCAAGACATTATCCAAGAATAAAAGTTGTTAGGAATGTTATTATCTATCATGTATAAAAAAATTAGCTCGACAAGTTATTCCTGTCCAAAAATTATCAATTTGGGCCAACACTGTGCGCCGCCGCCGCCGACAAATGCAATCGGCGCGCCATTCAGTTCGATCAGGCGCTTCGACCTATCCACGCGTACGCTACCGTGTTGTGACGACTTATTAGATAATTAAAAAATGACGACGCCAGAAAATGACTTTTCTAAGATATTTTTTTTATGCAATTCGTATTTGACCTCCATCTCACCTGATGGAAAGTTTTTTTTTTATGTAATTCGCATTTGACCTCCATCTCACCTGATGGAAAGTGACGATGAGGTCGACGATGGAGTTTGCACATCTAATTAATGTCTATTCTTTCGCCTTAAAAATGCCCTTGTTATAGGTAACATTCAGGGAACAAGTCTGCTGGCAGGGAATTCCACTCCATAGTCGTTCGCCATATAAATGTGGAAGCGTAACGCTTCGTGCGAATCTTTGGAATATACCTACACAACATAGAGGTGGAACCCAAGCCGATGCCTAGTCCCCCGGTGATGGAAAGGGGAAAGCGGAATTAAATCGTGTAATTCCATCGCATACTCTCCGTGATTATATCCTGTAAAATACTGATAAGCTAACAACATTACGGCGGTGTTCAAGGCTCTGCAGCTTCGCCTCCACTAATTCCGAGTCAACTATAAGCTTCTTGGCACGGTGGTCAATTAAATCCAAGGTGGCCAGTTGGTATGTAGCAGAGCCATCCTAAAGGTGGCAGCAGTACTCTAAGCACGACTGGACTTGTGTTTGGTATAGCTGAAGTAACTGTCCCGGTGTAAAGTAACGCCTCACCCTGGAAAGGATCCCAAGCTTCCTTGCTGCATGTTTGGTCATGAATTCAATGTATCCGCCGAAGTACAAATTGGACGACAGGTCCATTCCAAGTAGCTGGAGACACTCAGCTACGGTATGGATATATCACGAAAATTCGGAGTCCGCTCAAAGGACTCCGTTTTGTGGAGAATAGATACCCCTGCGTTTTGGTAGCGATAAATTTGACAAGATTAGCGTCGCCCCAATCGGATACAACCTCGAGTGTCAAATCCAAACGGTTAACCATGGTCTCTTGACAAGACTGGATTTCCTCTTCACTGACCCTTGCATTGGTCAAGTAGGTACCTATCTACAACTTTGTTATCATCAGCATACGCAAAGGTACCTGGAATTGACATATTATTGATATGCAGCAGAAAGAGAGTTGCAGACAGTACGGAACCCTGAGGAATCTATCGCCATATGTTCGGAAGAATAGCCTTCTAAGACCACTCGAATTGAACGTACGCTCAATAAATCTGAGATCCAATTGCAAAGGTCAGTGGGAAGCCCATAAGAGGGAAGCTTACTTAAAAGGCTTGCGTGCCAGACCCTGTCAAAGGCTATAGAAATATCCAAAGACACTGCAAGTGCTTCACCTTGCTTTTCAAGCATGCATATGAGACAGGCATACACAAGAAGATTCTCAGTTGATCGCCCTCGTCGGAATCCATACTGGCGATCACTGAGGAGGTCGTTGTCTTCAAGGTACGACAGGAGACGGTTGTTGTACAAGTTTCATAGTCTTGAAGAGTATGGAAGTGATTGAGATAGGTCTATAGTTGACAGAGTCAGCTCTGCTTCCTTTTTCGGCACAGGTTGCACGTTTGCAAGCTTCCACGACCTGGAACTACACCAGTCTCAAGTGAGAGGCGGTACAGGCGTAGGCGTGTGAGAAAAGGAGACAACTCAGGCGCACAGTTACGTAGGACTAGTGCTGGAATTCCATCTGGCCCGCTAGCTTTATTCACGTCTAGGTTTCGCAGAGTTCTAAGTACCTCTTTTTAGCGTATGCGAATTGGCGCCATAGTGTGATGTAGTGAAGTAAGATGAGATCCAGACGCGAACTTTTTACAAAGGTGAGGCAAAGAGATTTGCCTTGCCTGCTGCAGTATAGGTCAGCGTGCCGTCCGGCCTGAGTAGAGGTGGCATAGATTGGCGAGAAAAGGTTAGTTAGTGACTTGATATTTAAAGATGTTTTTGTTTCAAAAAATAATTTGTCCATTTCTGGCGTCGCCATTTTCACTACGCATACACATTAGGGAGGCGTGCGCGTGCGATCGGAGCGCCCGATCGAACTGATAAAAGTTTGATTACTATAGAAAATATGTTATTTTATTTTTTCCTTTGAAAAAGTTTTTGTATAACGGTTTTTGTAAAAACAAACACCGTCATACAAATTCGTTTTAGGGTCGCGCTCGCGCCGCCGCCGCCGACACTTGTTCGTCGGCGCGCCGCCGCCGGTTGGTCTATTATCGGCGCTCATATTTAGTCCCATGTGCCTGTAATTTCGCCGGCACCCTTACCCTTCAAAACCGGAACGCAGTATTGCTAACATTACTGCTTGGTGGCAGTACTTCCCTGGACGAACTCTCAAAACGAACTCGATAAAGTTTTCTATAATTTAATTAATACATTCATTCATAAGCGCATTGAACTAGCATATCAATGTGTTTTTTGAAATTTATTAAAATATCCATTGACCTACCAACAAAATATCTATTGAAATTGCATTTGAATTATAGTTGTGCGTTTTATTCTTCGAGGATGGAAATAAATAAATTATTCCTTCAAAATAATACAAAACACTCTACTACTAACTACTCTACTAATACAAGACACATCAGCTGTCATTTAGTTTACGTCAGAAACAAAACTATAAGAGAGAACTTTTGACTTCACCTCATCCCTATGACGTCAAAAATAGTGTCACAAGGATCACCTATAGTTTTTCCATCCTGTAAATAGTTTTCGTACAGTACCTATAGTCCAGGCTGATTTATAGAAATGAAACTAGTAGTAATCTTACAAATAGACATTTTATTCAGACATTGTAAAGAAAATACAAAGTAAATTACTTTCTTTCACACAGATACACTTAGATAAAAATACGTATATATATTTTTGTTTGGAATAAAATTCGATATTCATAAAACCCTTAAACAGAAGGGGCATTTATTTTTTATAACCACCAACGCCATTGAATTTCTACTTATAGATACAGACATTTCTTACTTGTAGGTAATACGATAGATAACTGTGGGCGTAGATAAAAAGATTACATATTTTTTTAAATGTTACAAACAGGTTCCTAAAATTCCTGTGTAACAAAATGGACGAATAAAAATTACAAAATGAAATTGTTAAAATTGGTATAAAAATATAGATAGTACATTAAATTCATAAGATCTTTCTTGGTGTTATCGAAGCCTATAATATCCAATTACTATTGAGATGTTCAAAGTATGATTTTTGCCAATATTTTTTATAATATTGCACACATATAAATGTAGTTCAGTAAAAATGCCCACAGTTAGAAAGAAGAGATATTCTATACACAAGAATTTATAAAATTCATTAGAAACGAGGACATCGATTTAGTTTCACGCGATAGTTTAGTGGTAACATACCTCTACAATGAGTTTATAGTGTTGAAGGCTGTAACGATCGTGGAAAATAATTTTTACTGTAGGTAATGGCAGACCGTTATTCTTATGACCGTTACAGGCGCTGTATCTACATCACTACTCATGGTAGAGGTATCTACAGAACACACTTGGGCAAATAAAGGTCTCTACTTGACGATGGTACATAGATACAATGTAATTAGTTACTATACACGATTAAAAGATAAGAATATTAGATACTTGATATTATGCAAGTAGGTACCCACACAAAAATTATTAATCTACTTTTTAAAGGTCACCTTGAATGTTTAAATTGTTTTTTATTTTGTTTATTGTTGGTAATTGATAGTATGATAAATAGTAAAAGGTAGTAACTGTGGTAAAAGTATTAGCTGGAGCAGTAGGGAAGGCTTTTAATGCAATAAGATGGATGCAACCTACTTTTGGGAATAAGGGAAACCCAACGTGTCTCAACTTTAAAACTAGCTCTTATCGTACGTCGTGTATTTGAGAAGCTAATCTTCAGTTAAAGATTTGTCCTAAAACCCAATCAATATATTTAGGGTTAGATCCTACTGCTCCAATTGATATTTCTTTTTGCGTTACTGCTGTAATATGACACTGGGAAAATGAACTAATTTGAAAGAGTTAGGAATTACGGAACGGAATGAAAAACATACAGTCTGCATCATTCTGATACTTAAGACATTCTTTCAGATATCGCAGATAAATAGATTCAGACGCAATGTGAAAAGTGAAGCACTTGCCGGGGGCGTGAATGTTTAAAAAAACACCTAACAAAATCTGCTCGATTTATTGCCTGCGAGTATTTTTCTTTTTGTAGAGATCCTCACCAGTACCTATATGTTTTCAATATTCAAGGCGTAATGACAATTTTGGTTACGTTTGAAGACAATACTTATAAGTTTGATAGGTAGGTAGATCAAATTATTAACATGGCTATTCAATACCATTAATACTTTGTGGGGTTTTCGCGTTCATTTGAATAAATTTTAAAATATTAATGACTTCAATAGACGGAACTGCATTACAGCAGAAAAGTACGACATAAGTGCAATACGCGACCCGGCTATGCAAGTCAAATGTCTTGAGTTCTTAATGCGTGCAGTTCATTGTAAATAGTGCGGTTCCACCTTTATGAATCTGAAATTCTATGAATAAATGCTCAATTTATATTGTGCCGAAATGGAATAAAGGAATTAAGTAGAATGGGCAATTTTTGTAGTTTTAATGTGAATTCTGCTTGTCTATTGAGTTGTCTGACCTTTCACATAAGGGAAGCGATACTATATGCACCCTTTCTATCATTTGGGGACTTGACTGGGGTTCCACCTGTATGTTGTGGATATCCAAGAGTCGCACGAAGCGTTACGCTTCCACATTTAAATAGCATACGGCATTAGAGTGGAATTCTCTGCCTGCAGATTTGTTTCTTTAACTTGGGTCTTTTCGAGGCGAGAGTGAATAGGCATTTTATAAGAGTGAACCTGGGTTGTTGCGACTATCAGCATCTGCATCCGCGGATAATCTGCATGAATTAAAATATCAGCATCCGCATTCATGCTGACATTCATTTCGGATGTTCATGTCGTAACATGACCTGGAATAACTTTCGACTCGGTCCGTTTCTGGAACAATTTCCAGATACAGATTGTTAGCCGACAACGCAGCTCAGCGCTCAGCTGTTGTTTTTAGAATATAACCTTGATAAAATTCCACACCGATTAATATAGGCAAATTGATTGTTTTCATGTAGATTGATTGCTTTGTTAATTAATGTCACAAAATCGTTGAAATAATATTTTATTACAATAGTAAAAAAAATTGAAAGCTTTTTCATATATAGATAGATTCAGTAAGGAGTGTACATATTTCGCGTTTTTTTAAATACCAACACAAAATCAACATCTGCTGATGTTAAGATCAAGAAACCAGCATCCGCATCAGTATCTGCTGATGTGTAAATAACCTGCATCAGCAACAACTCTGGAGTGAACACACCATCATTGACTAATCGTCACTTTTTAGCAAGTGACATAAAAGACTCGAAAGGTTCAGTAGATAAGTTACAATGTCGCAAACGCCAGAACTGAAGGACCATTGTGAGAAGTGCAGAGGGTGGGAGAAAACTATGTCTTACTGCTCACAGATAAGTAGTGGAATCTAAAATACGTTGCCTTATGCTCGTTACAACAGTTAGGTGAGGGAAAATAAGCGACTGTGTATCATATTTTCATTCCGAACACTTTTAATGATTGCTGGTTTGCACACGGCCCGCGTATCATATTCATTATCGTATCTCGTCCAGACAAGCGATAATGACACTGTAGCGATAGTTAGGTACCTACTGTGAACTAAGTAAAAAAAATCTGAATAAAAACAACGTTATCTCAATGAACTTTAGGAGCATTATTGTTTCAAAGCGATATTCGTCAAAATACAATTGAAATTTTAACACGTTCACTGCTTCTCAGTCGACGAACGGTAAGCGACACGCCTGCAGTGCCACTCAGGTTTAAATCACAAAGATCTGAGTGATGCTGCCACTGCGCCCGTTACCCAGAGATATAAGTTGACAAATCCCATGTGGCCGTAATTTCACCAGCGTCCTTACCTTTCTAAACCGAAATGCGCAATGCTCACATCATCTACAGCACACTGCTTTGCTGAAGAAACAGCTGAGGTGGCAGCATTACTCTGGACGAACTCTTTCACATGGAACTCTACCGCTACCAAATTAGTTACAGGTGATTACAACTCGTTACAGGTTAAAAAAGTGACCTTATTAAGTAATTAGGTACGTGCACTTTTTATAAAACTGAATGTTTTAACATTATTTTCGTTTAATATTCGTTTTAAATTCTTTGTTAAAATTTATAATTTGCAGTCATCATTTGCTTTGGTGTAAGTACTTATTGACTTACAAATAAATGGACGACGGGTCTAATACAAAAACCACGAAAAAAATGTCCCAAGTCAACCTATTTAAACGTAGTGACATGTAAAGGAATATGAAAAAGCTAAAACGTTGAATTTAAATTGTAATGTCATCGCAGTACTGTCTAATTTTGCTTGCCTCGCTGTCAGTCGAACAAACAAAGACTAAAGCGGGAATGACGCTCTGTATACTATTTTAACGCCCTATAAGTTCGGACACTTTTTAGCGCGGACCCGACGTCCATATAATTGTAAGTCAATGGGTGTACTATAAAGTGTTTACATACAATTTTTTCTATGACTAACAAGTCCATTAACTTTAGTACTTCAAGTGTAATAAATTAAACAATATGAAAATGCCACAAGTTCAAATTTTGTTTTGCGTATTCCCAAAAAGTTGGAATTTTGTTTGGGCCTACCTTCATTCTAAAGGTGTGGTGTGGTGGTAAGAAATGAGAGGTATCATGGGTAAATGGTGTAACGATCCGAATAATAATGGATTGGCAGCTCAAGTTGCATTGAAAACAGACATTAGCGTTAGGGCGCATTTATTCTACACGAACTTCAACGCGATCACGGTCCTCGGAATAATACAACCGCGCGGTCGCCGAGCGCAGTCCACGTTGCCGCGTGCGTCTAACTATCATAGCAAAATACGCTCTATTTACTTTGCTTTTACGTTTTAATGAGCGTCTCGGCTACACAGGCGAGTCTGCCTTGAATTTGGTCTACGCGGGGGTCAGCGCGGTTGTATTATTCCGGAATTTGTTGTTTGTTGTGTTGTTGCCTAGTAAATAGAATTCAGATCGTCGTCGTCGTCGAATCGTCATTCACGTACATGAAGGCGTGGTAACTGCGCTTAGGTTGTTTTACTTGTCTGTTGAGCGGTGAACGTGTTAAATTCTTTAAGATAAACTTGAATTTTATTGCGTAATTTTAGATAACTTTGAACATTTTAACAATTCCGTTTTTTTGATACTTGAAATTACACTATAGATATAACTGACGCAATCGCGTATAAATTCCTGCGTCACCATAATCGAGTTGCTCAAATTCACTTGTAAAGTAGTCTAGTCAACGGGTCGATTTTTCTTCACTAGAACTTTTTGCCTTACTAGTAAAATTTTAGATGTTATAGTTCACTGACGCTGGATTTAGACACGCACCGCAGCTGTTATTACTTTCTACTTGCATAAAAGTATTGTATACGTTCCGTTCTTCAGAAACATTTGTGCGCGTCGGTCCAAGTGTCGAGTAATTTTGACAAACAATTTTTTCTTTCTGACAATAGGAATATTGATCTTTAAAGTAAATAATAGCGCCATCAACTCAGATTAAAACGGAACTTGTCAACCTTTGATGTATTTGTGTATATGGAGGAAGGACAAGTCTATCTCAGCGTGTGCCACATGGCGACGGCTTTGCGCGTTTCGTGCGCCATCTGCGCCCAGTGGCGCCCCTCGGCGGCCGGCTCGGCCGCGCCCACGCAGCACCACCCTACCACCAGATTGCTGCCACCGCCGGTGACCACGCACACCTGTAAATAAATAAATATTACACAACACCACATACTTTACTCCGATCACAAAGTAGTAACTGTTCACGAAAGTTCTACACGCTATGTCCTGCACGCACACAGATACGGTCCCTTTCGCACTAGTAGCATGATAAATGGAACGTGTGACGGGTGGCCCGGAGCGGGCGCTCTCTTCCAATCTACAACGGTAACGCGGCAACGTATCACAGAAGCCAACAAAAAAAAAGTAAAAAAGGTTTTTGCATCCTTGTAAAACAAACACCCACATCCGACCCGGAATCAAACCCGGGACGTCAGAGATGGCGGCACCATGAAAACCGGTATGCAAGCCACTCGACCACAGAGGTCGTAAATGACTGCAAAATAAGTAAGTATGACACTAAAGCGCTCCACACATTGAGTGTGACTCAGCACTATATGTAACATAGTAAATTATAGAAGGATGGCGACATCCCGTGTATTTTGTGACCCAGTGTTTTTGACGGCGTGCATTAAAGAGACCTATCAATACTTGTGATTCATTATCAAAGCATCCAAAAAGCTAATTGAGTACAAGCCTGTAGAAGCTGGGGTTACAAACTTGATATAGGATATGTTTATAACATTGTCCTGTATTTCGCTTCAGATGTTTGTTTGTAGTAGCAGAAAACAATATGTTTTCAGTTTGTTCCTAAAAATATTAAACAACTTGCCGAATATTCCTAAATCTGCCACATTTAATACAACTTTAACATGTTCTGTCGTAATGAAAATGAATAAAGATTACATCTGCCCAAATGGCAGAAATATGGCACAATTGGTCACTGTTCTCAATCTCAAAGTGACAATGACATTGGCACGAGACCTGTTGTCAAAACGTTCCTTTGTTAACTTTCGTATCTCTCATTTAAATATTGTCTAAACATTTTTGACATATTGTGTTTTATTTTTTACTTTATCATTATTTTTTAATTGATTATTTCATTACGTATTTTATAGCTTCAATGTTTTATGCGTGTACTATAAAATAACCAATACTTTATGTAGGTAAATATTCAATCATGCAATATGCTTATATGTAATGCATAAGCGTTGTGTTCTTGCATCTATTCTAAAATACATAGTTTCGTAATTTCTTTATTCCCGACTTCTAAAAATATACAAAAAATACATTAATAACCATAATAATAAACTAAAACGTAAAGTTCATGAACGGCTCTTCGTTGATTTTGGGTCAGCTTTCGCCACCCTTCTTTAAAAAAAAACCCGATATAAAACAGTGTACTCCAAAAAGTCACTATCTGTAAGCTAACATCTCATCAAGACCAATTTAATGAGCCCAAACACGATCTATCGTACTGTAGGTAGTTGAGGACTTGGGTAGTCTGCTCTACCGTGACGGCAACGCTGATGGGTAGTCTGCTCTAATTGTAGCATCAGTGCCTACTTCTGGTAATTTTCTTGAGACCACTGGGTATAGTAATTCCAATGAGACTCCATTGAGATCATATTGCAATTATGATAACATTTGTTATTCTGCTAAAATCTAATTGCAATGGCAGTTGAGTCGCAATAGTGTCAGTGGAGTGACAGTGATGGCATTCATTCATTCAATCACTAACGATCGATGGTGCCTCACTAAAACTACTATGGAGACTATTATGCGTCTCTTATTTTTTATCTCGTTTAATCAGGAATTTAGTCTTAAATTATATTTTATAATTATGCACATGAGACTTATCAACTTATGTCTCAGGGTGATGGGCGCAATGGAAGTGCCCATAACACGCCTGTCCATAACATGCAACTGTTATGGACAGGCGTGTCGCTTACCACCGAGCGCACGACTTGTCCGTCCCGATATTTGGTATTACATAAAAGATAAAAATAAAATATAATTATCAGTCTGTGTTTACCTCAATGGAAGCCTCCTGCAGGTTAGAAGAAGGCAGGCTGAAGGACAAAGCTTCATTCCACACTGGGTTGTTGATTTCTTTTCTGTTGGTCTTCTTCTTCTTCACGCGTTTCCCGTTCACCAGCAAGTACACTTTCACATACACATCTGAAATAACACGTATTATATATAAGGTCTTTGCCGTTTATATATTCTAGAGTGAGTAGTAGGTTAATGATCTTTCATAAGGATGACCTTCAACCGTCTTTCCCTCTGGAAAAGAAGGACAAAGGTGGCATCCTATAAAACATCTCCATCAATGACTAACGCAAGAAAGAGACAACAATTGTATGCAAACATTTTACTCACCTAAAGCATCCTTTCCTTCTTGAGGAGGCAGCAAATTCCTGGCCTTCAAAACCACTACGGTCAGTCGCTCTGCTGAGGGCAAGTAAGACAAAGAGAGCAATAGTTCTTGCAGTTCCTCTGGCGGACGTCGTTCGCGCGACAGTTCAGCCCACACTTCTGCACCACCGGCAACTTCCACACGGGAAAGAGGGACTTTTGCTGAGCCCATAACCTCGTTGCGCGAGAACCTGAATCACAGAGTACTTAATAGTTACCACGTAACAGATACATCACTCTCATATAAAATCGGAATTACCTACGCTTTAATAGCCTACTAAACCTGATTAATGAAACCAGGACCTCACAGCGAGGTAAAAGGCCCTACGCACGCTCAGATATGTGAAAATAACGTCGTCGTGCGGAACCGAACGCGGGGGTTGTACAAGGGTTGTAATGTAAATGAAAGACTTGTTTGAGCTCTTGCACGAACTTACTTTTGCAAGAGCCCTGCCTAAATTAGCTTTTCTACTCAATAGTTGTCACATAAAACTCAATTATTATTACACCGAGGAGGTTGGGATTTGTGTTAGGTGTTTGAGGTTTTAAATTTGTTGTCATTCGCCACTAAATATCAGTACTTACAGGGTTGTTCTGCACGCACAACTAGAACGAAGCTCAGTGGAGGACATTTTGGATTTGTTTTTTTAATTTCAAGCCTTCTTCTTGACTTCATATATCTCTTATACGAAAATGGCACCAATTTTTATTCTTTCTTTTTTCAATTGCAACACTAAATAAAAACCAACCTGTCATAATCAAACACCTGCAGCAGCAAAGTCTTGTCACCGAGCTCATCATGAGACACAGGGAACTTAAAGTGCTGGTCGAAGAAAGGGTTTGCCTCGTTTCTATGGACTGGTGTTTGGCGAACACGAGTATCCACTTCGGGGAGCAGACTCACGCGCACGTAGGGGTCGTTGAACCCTCCAGCCTCGTAGCCAGCAAGATCGTGAGCTGAAAAATTTAGTAAAACTGTATTTATTTATTGAATATTATGTTTTAATGTCATAATTTTAATGTAAGTATGTACATATTTCTTGTGAAAATACTCCACTAGTTTATTATTTTTTATTGTGATATCATGTGACGGTGCGAAAAAGTAGTGCACCTGGTGGTAAGTCTCACGTCTGTCCATAGCAGTCCCAGTGCCATTCAGAGCTTTAAATTACAAAGATCTGAGGGGAACTGCCACCGCACCCGTCATTCCGTGGGTCAAGTCCCATGTGTAATTTGTAATTTCTGTAATTTCACCAGCCAAACCCTACAAAACCTAAACGCAGTAATGCTTATTATTCCCACAAAGATCATCCATAGAGATAAAAAATCCTCTATAGATCTGACTAGACTCGGTCTGTGCCGAAGCCACCGCTCTTAACCAATTGAGCTATAGTGTAAGTCGGTCTTACGAATTTCTTCATTTGGGTTTGTTACAAGTTTCTGACAGATGCACTTTGGCGAAAACAAATCGTTTAAAAAAACCCAATCCAACATTAGTAACAATAGTTTTCTATGCAATCATTACATAATGAGGGTTCTTAAAGTCGATCACCGTATTTAGGCCGAGTGGCCTAAGTAATAGTTACGAGATTTTAACGCCTAATTATGGAATGATTGAATACAATACATTTTCTACGAGTAAATAAAATAATGAAACACAACCAATATTTAATGTATATTTTGTTAACAATCCACGACAACAAACTCAAACGAAAACCAAGCAAACGGTGCCAAACAAAAAACAAAACAGATAGAAGTGGCCAAGTACCGCTGGTAATTTAATCATTTTTGTAATAAAGGTTATGGCCCAGTTGCAAGACCTTTACGCCAATTTTACCAATCAGGACTCAGTAGGGCGTTTGAATAGCGACATATTTGATGTTTTAACTAGCAACAATACGTAGGAAAAGAAACTATTTTTCCGGATTTAACTACTAAGACACAACTGGCTGATGACTGTACCATCTCAGTCAACCGTGACCATGGGACCTGTAAAGGGCCCGAAACGTCGGTTTGTTTGAAAAAACAAATATACGCGATTTAAATTCGGAAAAGTAGTTTCATTTCCTATGTGTAACAATCGCGAAAACCTAGGAACTCGATATAGCAACAATACGACATTCTTTGTTTTGAAACTCATATAATCATTATAGTTCAGCGTACAGGGCCTCTACCATGACTTTACTGTGACAGTTGTCGCAAGCGACCGCGTATATTAAGAATTTGGATAAAGACACGGTCTTTGAAAAACGTTTAAAGGAATTTCTAAACAAAAAAACCTATTATAATATGTCTGAATTTTTTGGCGATAAATGTATTTGAGGTTGATTTCATGTCTATATGAAATTTGGGTAATAATTGAAAATACAAATCAGTAAAGGTTGTTATTAGCAATAAGTGTACGAATAATATATATTATAATAATAAAATAAATGTACGAATAATATATATTACAATATATGTTAAAATAATTGTATCATTGGGTTTAGGTTTGAATTGTGCTGCGTCCTAACGGGGTGTCACATGTATGTGTCTGGGTTTATTAAATTGCAATAAATGAAATTGAAATGAAATTTTAAGATAAAAATATTATGTAATAATTATGTTTATTAATAATTATAGAATCTATAATATAATTAATTATCTAAACTAATTAACTACGTTCAAGCTTGGAATGTATTTAAATTCCATTGTAACTTTGTTACACCCTTACAGGGTATCACATGTATAAGTTTATCATCCATGTGAAATGCAAATAAATAAATGAATGAATGAATGAATTACTTCAAAATTTTGTATGGCAAATTATACAGCGCAGCGCCTCTAGCGATTGCTAGAAGAAGAATGATGATATTCAATTATATTTTGTGAAATTACTCCACTACTTTCTTTTAATTGTTAAAGATCGAACACTTAGAAAAAATTAACTTCGATCTAGTTGGATTCGCACCAACTTTTCCCAGCAAACCGTGCCAGACGCTATGCCAACTATTTTACGCCACGGAACGAATCAACAACGGAGCTCACGAATTTTTCCATGTGTTTGTAGCAGGTCTTTGCTTTTTGGTTTTTAATGGCTCGTATCCAATCGGATCGAAACGAATTTTATTTTGTTTAATAATCATTCACAAGATTTTGTTTATGTTAATAAATAGTACAGTAGGCAGCTAACGAGGCGGAATGTAGATTCCCTAGCGAAAAGCAGCTGTCTTAGTTTTAACACGGTGACCTTTATCCTCAATTACTTCAGGTTACAGATCTCAAGAGTGTCGTCACGACCAGTAGTATAATTGTGTTTTGTTAGGTCCAAATTTCACACATGTCGGTTGAGGAATGATAGAAACTGCAATTTTAGGGAATGACAAAAAAGTTTCGCTGGTTGGGCTCGCTGCGCTTCGACAACATCGGGAGGGATTTTATTTTTTTATGATATCAAACGACGAGACGAGCAAGTCGTGCCCCTGGTGATGCCACTTAGAGCTTCAAATTGGAAAGATCTGAGGGGCACTACCACTGCGCTGCCACACTGAGACATATTCGCTCACGCGATGCGCTCCTCCTACCGCAAAATGGCGGCTATTTGGTTTCGCAAATTAGAAAAGCATTCAGTTTAAATACAAGTTTTTATAAATAAAAATTATTATTCTGCATTGCTAAATAAATATCCTCCGTACTACCAATAAAAACATCTCAAATAAAATACAGTAATATACCGCAAATCCTGCACTTAAAAAGCACTAATGAAATTTTTGGTGTACTTGGATAAATATGATAATATTCCGTTTGAGTGGTTCTAACGTTTACCATGAAATTACTCCTTAAAGTATAGATTATAAACATTTATATTCAGGGTAAATTTAAAAAACGCTACTTACGGTATGTTTTCAATAAATAAACACCGAAATCACCAGCCCAAACAATAATACACACGATTGTCGTGACGTATTTTTGAAGTTGTTTAGTTTTTTTAAATGACAGACCCAGGCATTAAAAAATTTATGGTTTGCTAGAGTAGTTACCGAAATAGCAATTAATATTAGTTCTTTTATCTGTTATAAATTCGATATCCGATAAATCGGTATAAAATCATCACCGGCACCTCTAGGTGTGGTATGCGTCTACGGCTGGATGTATCGCGTGAGCGGATAAGTTCAAGTCCCATGTGCCTGTAATTTCGCCAGCACACTTAACCTTCAAAACCGATACGCAGTAATTTTATACCGGTTCACCTTAGGACCTGGCAGAGTCATCAGTGTCGTAGTTCAACTGAACTGCGGCGTAATGCTGAGTCAGGCCCTTTTTGCTGACACAGTACACTCAATTCTACACCTGATACAATATAACACTCCATTGTACCTATGTCATAAGCTTGTTTGTACTGTACTGTGATTCAGCAAATAAACGAGTAATGTATCTATCTGTCTGTCATTGCTCACATTACTGCTTGGTGGCAGAAATAGATAGGTAAGGTGCCAGTAGATCCTTGAACGAGTCTTTCACAGGAGCTTAAGTGCTACTCAAAGTATTTTTGGAGTGCCGAGGTCGCTCCCCGAAGTCTTCAGCAGACGGAGGAGGTTGGGTGGTACGAATAGGACCCTGCCAGGCAAGAATCAAATCCTCAAAGCATTGTTCCCTTGCATGCACGTACTCACGCATACTGATATCGTCTTGGAAAGTATAACTTTAGAACACCGTTTCTAAAGTTCAGATCTCCAATTAACGATTTCTGTGCAAATTTTATCACCGAAACTCGGAATACAGTTTGTGGACAGCTTATTTATAACCGATACTTTGCGCTGAAGAACGTAGTTATATCGAATAACTTGAGTAGGTCGACCGATAAAGCATGAAATTTTAACTCATATACAACAACAACATCAACCCATTTAAACGTCTCACTGCTGGGCACGGGTTTAGTACCTACTGGGAATTTCCTACTTTGACGACAGGTAAAATGTCTGGCACGTTATTACTGTTAGGAAGTAATAAAAGATGTTTAATCACCCAGAATAATTTTTCACAAGTTACATTATTAAGTAAGCAATACATAACTCTCGAAGTCAAATGATATGTGACGTTCTATGGGGAAAGATAGTTATTTTAAGCTCTTCTCAGGCGAGGGTTCAAGGCACAGGCCACGCTGGCCGAATGCGGGTTGGGATCTTCACACGTTTTCTGAGGGTTGTGAACGTTCTTCGACATCTAAATTTCATCACGATGTTTTCTGCCACCGAAATGCTTTTGGTAAATTTGAAATCAAATTTTGCGCATAAATTCCGAAAAACTCAGAGATGCGAGCCCGAATTGGAACCTACGGCCTCTGCTTAAAGTGCAGGCCACAACGCGACCGAAGCTAGCTGACTTAGCTTAGCTCACGTAGTTGAATGCAACCAACTATTAAAAAAATGCAAACTTTGGCTACTTTCGAGGCAGTGTTCGGCTAGTAATTGGATGTAGCTTCATCTATCCATCGTATGCACTTGTATACCGATCGAAACTTCAAATCGGATTGTTCTAAATTGCTATGTTATTATATTGAATGACATAGGTACTAATATGTTTATAGGTTAAGTCGTAGGCTGTTTCGTTTTTGTGGCGCTGGTTGAGATGCGTCACGTAACTCTTATTTCAAATGTAGCGAGTTTCTTGAAAAGGGTGGGGTCTGAAAAACAGCTTAAGCGGAGACTCTTACCTTTTGTCTAACAAACACGATGTTATTTAAGGATAAACTTGTATGTACTCATTGTAGATAAATAAAATTCTTTATTATTATTATTTCTTTATTATTTTAGACTCTCGCCTTTCCCAAGGCCTAAAAGGTTAATTTATTATTATAATTATTGTATTTATTTTAAACTCTCGCCTCTCCCAAGGCCTAAAAGATTAATTTTGAATTTTTAAATGGGAGAGGCGGTATTTTCCGGCAATGGCACAGTCGGCGGTGAAACAATACGTGC